TTTATTTAAAGACCTCCAGATAAGATGACCCAGGATTTATGGTGGTACCTACATTCAATGATTAGTGTCCTTCTAAGAGAAAGAATATTTGAGACATGGACAGAGGAGAGCCATTTGAAGAGAGAGGTAGAGACTGAGAAATGCTGCCATAATCCAATGAGAGCCAAGCTTGCCATGGGCCACCAGGAACCAGGAGAGAGGCATAGTACAGGAATTCTTCACAATGCCAGAGAGAGTCAACCCAGTCAGTACCATGATTATCAATTCTAGCATTCAGAATTATGGGAGTTGCCTAGTTTCTGAGGCTGGCTGTGGGGTGGATGCTCAGAAACTGGGAAAATTGTTCTGGATGCTGGGTTGTGGAAGAAGATGAAAGACTCAGTTGGGATAACAGATATGCTTTATTTAGATGGGGCAGTAGTCTCCAGCTTTAAATACCAGTTCCATTTTGCCCCAGCCAGTTCCATTTACCCCAGCCAGTTCCATCTAGACCCTGAGTGGCTTCATATGCCATTTTTTGAGGCAATGCAAAGAAAAACATTTTCAATAAATTATATAAGTGGGTGCAAGTTCAGAAGCAAACGTTTGTGACCTTGAGTGCATATGCACAATCAGGATATTCCAGACCTTGGCTACATACTGAAAACATAACCAACTAGAAGCCTTGACCAGAGATCCCAACTACTGCCACTTGGGGCCTGACCAACATTGACCTCAAACTTGTGATTCTCTTGCCTCAGCCCCAAAGGTAGCTGAGATTACAGATATGTGCCACTACACCTGCCTGAAATGCATAGAATTCTAAAGACACAAACCAAAGAAATCAAGAAGCCAGCAGAATGGAAAGGACAAGAAAGGACTTCCCCACACAGCCTTTGGAGGGTGTTTGACCATTTTAATCACTTGAATTCAGACTTCTGGCCTCCAGAGGTATAAAAATAAATTGTTTAAAGGCACCTACTCTGTGAATTTTTTATGCCAGGCAGGCCTAGATCACACCCTAATATACATGGAGGGTCACACTGAGAGAGTCCAAATTCTAATTGTCTTCATTTTATTTTATGTGCCTCCAATTACTACACTCAGCACCCAAAGTGGAGATATCAAGGCTAAGAGACTTGTGAGACTCAAAATAATAAGAAAAATAGTAACTGACACTGATTATTGAAGTGCATGATCACATATCATGTGCATTATACTGGCTAGTAGGAAAAATGAAAAAAAAAAAAGAGAAATATAACTAAAAGGATAAAATTTTTGGATCCAGTATAACTGACACTAGATTACTCCTTGAA